AAAAAATAAATTAACAAAGAAAAATAAAACACTTAAGACCTAGCCTCGGAGCAACGCCCGAGCCTGAGACCTAGTTATATTTTATGTACAGTTGGCTAAGGAGAATCTATCGTGCTTCCAAAAATTAGAAAACATGTCAGATCAGATTTTTCAGAGGTCACAAAATATTTTGAAAGCCCGACGATAGATTCTCCTGAGACGGCCAACTGTACACAAAATATAATTGAAACTCCTACGACAGGTTATCCCTTGTCGGCACATATCTATATATACAGTAAAGTACTAATCGTAATTAGTGTTGTTAACTAAAATACTAGAAGGTTACTATAAAATTGGAAACACAGCTTTTAGTAGAATCTTGTCACTAAAAGCTTCTTTTATTCACTAAAACATTTTTAATGATGTTTAATGGCTTCTATATAGTAATATCTTCAAAATATAGCTATCATCACAAGGAAATAATAGAAAAAAACTATTTCCTATTTACCATAAAAGTGAATATACAAGATCCCCCAAATAGTAAACTCACCATGAATTAGACCTGGGTGTGAACCCAGAATCTTTATTATTATGCGGTTTTTTCAATTAGCTATATACTATTATAAATACAAAGCATTTATGCACTTTAAAATTTTTCTTTTCACGATATAACCTCTCAGCGTGTACTAGGGTTTATTAAAGGTTTTAAAATTGGTGAAGTGAAATAGACCGGGTCTTGTATATGTACTTTTACAGTCTTTTGTCTTGTTATGTGCATCGGTAAGAGAAAACTATAATTAGTACACGCGACCTTTAATAGCTTCAATTATTTTATTCATATTAATTCGGCACGTAAATACAAAGAGCGTTTCTCAAAGAAATGGAATTACTCTATCACTTTTTTTTTTCGTGGAATGTTTCTTCTTCTAGGTAAATTTTCTTGATCAGCATCATCCTCTATATCATTCATCATATAAATTTCTTCTTTGTTATTTTTTTTGTCAATTCCAATGTTTCTGCGTTCAGCAGGTTTTTTTGGTGGATGCGGAAATAAATCACCCCACATTGCTTTGCGAGCATCGCGATAAGGAACTTTACCTTGTGATTTTGGAATTATCATCCTTTCAATATGACCTTTTTATATGAAGTGGAAAAAAAACAGTTAGGTAAAAGGATAGAGTGTACAAATAATAAAAATGCAATTTTTTTAGTTTGCCTGTATTAGAGCAATAATCCATAACGACGTGACTACTTCGTTTGATAGGCGGCAAAATTAAGCGAGCCCAATAAAAGGCTTCATTTGTGAAATCTTTAATCAATAATAACAATAATAGTGAGCATTAATAGACTCAAATATTGAAACTGGTTTCATAGATTGTAGATCGCATGAATAAACAGACTTTTAGCGAGTTCTGTATTTATGGTACTATCATGAGTTAGTTTTTCCAATTTTTTTGAAGTTTCTGTTGCTGATATCCTAGGACGTGGTCCCCTTCTCAGGATAACATAAGAATACTTTGAATCTTCATAGTTGTTCCCTACCACCTTTTTTGTTTGCATCTTAAAAACAAACAAACAAACGAATGAGTCTTTTGACTTTCAAAGGAAAAATACATCTTAATTATATACTGACTAGGTATGATGGCCTATTTATACGTTGCGAGAAATGACACCAGTTCCTTGATTCGATTAAGGGGCACTCACCATCGTGTGGGCACTAGAAAGTAACAGTAATTTAATGATAATATATATGAGTAGTTATATTACACGCTTTAATGACTAACCGGTGCTACAACATGAGCCCCATAGTTCGCAAGTGTTGACATCGCATCATTATCTTGTTTATCCAATTGCAGGTTGGCATCTACCTGAAATTTTGTAGCACTATGCAAAATTTTTTTACGTGCTTCAGCAATTATTTTAAACCCAGCTGGTGTGCCTTTTTCAATCAGCACCTAGAAAAAAGATATCATGAATAACAATCAAACCAGAAAAAGGGAAGATGGTTGTAACTATCAATAATCACCAGTGTGTCCTCTGTTTTATTCCATAAAGACTCCAGGATAGATTGTCTGATATTATCATTCGGTAGTTCATTAAACGTGAATGCGGAAATAACAAGATCATATCTCGTCTACAAGTTAAACACCTAAATTAGTTGCAAGTAATTATGAATGGTGATATACAAGTGACACTCTATATAAGTTATTTGGTTTAATAAAATTGGGAGAAGAGTTTCTTGTATTGAATCACATGCATTAATAATATTTACTTTTGGATCATATGTGATAGATTTTTTAAAATCAATATTTTGTATTTTGCTGTTATCTATCGAAAAAAAAATTAATCTTTTATAAATTTAATGAACCTGAATAGTATAAATCCTACTGAATAATCACAAGATAATATATTTTCTGCCGTTCTCAGCATTGCCTCAGATATATCAATTCCCAAAAAGTTCTCTATATTGCTGCCCCATATTTCATGCGCGGCCCTAACAAAATTAAATATGAAGATATTTGAACATTATATAAAAAAAGGCCACAGTTAGGTGCATACCATATTGCTGTACCAGGACCAGTGCCAAAATCCATTACATTTTTTGGAGAAAAATCAGGTAGTCGTGTGCTTAATTCATAGAGAACATTATATATTGGGCCATAGGTAATTGGTAAATAGCCCGCAACATAAGCAAGAGACTCACGGCCACCGTATTCAAGAATGTGTGGCTTATTATCGGGTTCCTCCTGTAAAGTGCGTTTAAAAGTTTTTTGCGCACTTTTGCAAGGACCAAAGATTGGGTCTTTATTTTAAAAAACAGTCAATAAATTGAAAGTGTGTCGATATTTACTTGGTTTACTTCATGCTCACACCTGTTGCTGTATTCACCTTGTATCCAGTAGTTGATCGAAATGACTTGTATATCCGGCCAGCATCGAATCTAATTATTTCTTTATCCTGGCCTATGTAATTTATTTGGATAGTTCGTAATTAACGTTTTATTATTATTTTTCAGAGGAAAAAAAAAATTTATATATACTGGCTTAAAATCAGTAATAAAAAGTTCCTTAAATATAAAAGGAACTTTTTGCTACTGATGATTTTAAACCAGTATACATGAGTATACATAATCTTAACAATGTTTTAGTTTCAACATTTTAAAAATAGTAATAAATAAATAAATAAATGGATGAATAAATAACCTTGAATTGTTTTAATAATAGCTTCATTCAACCATTCAGGTACATTTACCCAACCCATTCTCTTTCTCCCAAAGAGTGCTTCAAGTGACTTTCTTTGATAAGGCAGGGTTGCAATGCGTTCTTTTAACATCTAGATCTACAATCTTATCTGAATTTTTACAATTGTTTAAATAATAGTCTTGTCAGCTCTTTGATTGGCTGCCCTAGGTTTGATAGCAGATTACCAGTTAGCCAATAAACATGCATTGCTATACGTTACACAGACGCGTTAAATAATAAATAGTATCATTTTCTTGATTCTTGATTCTTCATAAACGCATCACCTCTTTTATACAATAACGGAACTTAGATGGTATCTTATATAGAAATAGATACTGAAGATAATTTGAATTATTGTTAACTTTGCTGTCCCTGTAAACTTCACGTAATTCTCAAAATAGTCGTCGAAAAAGCTCTCAGCCGCCGAAAAGCGCAGGAGACTTGAAGAATTATTTCACGAAACGGTATTTAATCTATCATATATAATCCTTTGAGAATATAAATTTTTGATATAAAGTAATATCACAGAAAACCTTCTACCAACTCAAAGAACTTGAGAAGATCGCGCCAAAACAAAAAGGAATAGGTAAACTTATCTAAATTTATCCAATTCAACCTCTTATCCATATATATTTATATTTTTTTTTAAAAAAAAAAAAAGTTTCACAATCGGTTAAGGATGTTCTTCAAGATTTAGTGAACGATAATCTCGTCGCTCAAGATAAAATTGGTACATCCAATTATTTTTGGTCGTTTCCTAGTAGTGCTCTTCAATCGGTAAGGCGATTCATGATTAGTAGTATTATATACTGTCAGTTGCATTAATAAATTTTAACACTGTTAGCGAACAGCTAAAATCGAAGAACTTCAAGAAGAAATCACCAAATTGAAAGAAAAAAATGCTGATTTACAGGCGAATATCGAGAAGGCTTTAGACGGTCGTAAGGATTCAGTACGTAAATTTAATTTTAATTCACATTCATTTATTCAATACATTAATGCTTCTTTAAACTAACAGGCTGAACGAGCTTCCCTGTTGAAAACGTTAGCAGAGGCAGAAGCTTTGGACAAGAAGAATGAGGAAGAATTGAAACGTTATCGTGAATGTGATCCCGTGACTTTAAATGAAAAAGGTCATTACTCGAAACCATGTTTATTATTATTATTATTATTATTATTATTATTATTATTATTATTATTATTATTATTAACGTTTTCTTATTTTTTATTTAAAGAGAAATACGCTAAATTATACTTGGAAGGGGCTAATCGTTGGACAGGCAAGAAATATTCATACACTTTCATAGTTTTAATACTGTTATCTGAAAGTAAATTTAATCTTTTAACAGATAACATCTTCATACTTCAATCTTACTGCGTCAATAAGTACAACATTGAACGAGCCGACTTTAATAAACAGTTCGAGATACCAGATGATTTCGATACTTTGGAATAAGAAATCAAATTCAGATACAGAATTTATAAATTTATAATGTTAAAAATTATGCTTACGCTAATTATGCATTTATATCACAATTACTACATCTTAATTGTTCCATTAATAAAAAAAAATCTTTTAACTTCCTCGATTGAAATATATTCCTCATCTACGTCTTGTTGAGAAAACAGGTCATATAGAGCATTGGACCAATATTATTTGAGACATCCTGAGAAATAATATATATTGGCTAAGCGATATAAAATTAATTAAAATTTAATGTATCCCTCTAGAGTTCCCAATGAGGGATTTGACGTATCCCTGAAGCATTAAATAAACCAAACGATTATATATATCGTACGTCTGAACAGAGGTATTATATAGTTGTTTCTAAATCTAATACTGTAATAATCGATAATTTAATAGCAACACAAGCTGATTTTAAATTCGATGCTATAAATGTGCAATTGATGTAATAGTTGATCATTTGTCATTTTTTGTTCTTTGCAACACTACCTGATAAATGTCTATTATACAATCTTCTTCACAAGTAGGTAATATTAAAATGTGTGGCAAAAATCATTGTAAATGTAAAAAAAACGAAAGTACTTTGGGATGAATCATAGATGTAAAAACTTTATGAATGCTTTTAAATTTAATTAATTTCAATACGCCGTGTTATGAATAAACCCTATCTTGAAACGACTTAATTTGGAATACACTTAATTTTATTGTAAGCAACTAGGGTTCATTTTAGAATTCTGTTCAATTGTAGTCAACCTATGTGGATTCTAAATCCACAAAAATTCAGTTCAGACGTACGAAATGCAGTCATATCTGAGTTATATCCTTTTTTTCCAGAGCATTTTTGGATATAACTAAGGTGGACTTTACATTGAAGACATGGAATTAACTTTCCCATTTGATAATATATTTTCATAAAATCCATATTGGATCCAATATCAAGTTTGATGTCAAAAGTTTTAACTTATCATATCTTTATTGATCTGTTTTAAATCCATTCACCTTTTTGTCAAATCATCTTTTTTTTTTAATATGGCAACTGGACCTCTTGAATACTAGAAATGACAATATTGTTAGGTAATGTAAAAGGTTTACCAGAATTTTTTATAGATTCAACTTTGTCTCTTATGTATTGTGAAATTATAGTATAGCTTAGACATAAGGCATTTGCAGAAATAGTAATAGCAAAGATCCGACTTGAGATATATGTTACCAAAGATTATAAGAATTATTAATTCAAAATTATCAATTTAAAAGTTGTTACAGGTAATATAGTAAAAGTTATAAGAAACTAAAATTAGTTAAAAATAATAAAATTAGAATGTATTGAAGTCAACACAAATAGGAGAATCTGAACCATCTTATTGAACAAAGTGATTTAATAGTAATATTATTCAAAAATGTTAGGAATTCTAATTTCAAGTATTGATTTAATGTTATAGCATACAAGATATGCAG